CATATTATGCCCAGGTTTGACCCAGTATCATTAGCAGTGATTGTTCTACCTATGTGCTCTTTAAAAGTCTAAAAGGCCAAACCAAATCCAGCGCTGGAAAGCTATGGAGGGAGGACGTTCCAGACATTGTTTGATGATCCATCGAGCACTCACTTTCAAGCATACTGACCCTTTTACTAAAACTTTTACGATTGTGTTTTAGTGCCCCGTGGAGCCTCTGTAATGCATTTGCACTTGGGCTGAACAGTTTAAAGTGTTGTATGGGGTCTGATATCAGTATGACAAGCAACACTACTGTAGTCTCTGAATACATGCGTCCTGTGTGTAGAAATACTGCTGTTCACTGTGTAACACTTCACGTTGATTGTTTGACACTTCTGAAACTGTCTGTCCTGCAGTGAGTTTAGCTCTGTTAGCCGTTAGCTCTGTTAGCCAAACACAAGGCAGGACTCTGCTGCTCACCGGCTGCTAACAGCTAGCTAGCTCCCCTCCAATCAACATGAGAAGACGCGCTCTGTTGTAGTCGGTGCTCGTTTCAGTTTGTCATTTGCTAAGATTTAGTTATACATACATACATATATGGATGCACCGTGTCAGACCAAGTACAAGTACTTACTTTTGGGTACTTTCTAATACATATTTCCATCAAATTTTCCTCACTTTCTGACTGTAACAAATGAAATATACAGCATGATGCTGTTTTTTAAAGTTCACCTTCGTGATGTGCTCATACAAACAGCATAGTGTGCAGTAGGGATGTTAATAATGAACCGTTTAACAGACATTTTGACTTATTAATGCAATTGAAAGAAAAATTAAAAAGCTAGGTTAAATTCAGAGGACCACCTAGTCACTTAAAGGAGAACAGGTGGTCCACCTTAAGTGAGCCTGGGCTTAAGTTGTTGCTAGCTTCGCGGCTAACCCCCTTCACTTTGATCAGCCGGTGGCAAGCAAGACACGGGAATCTGCCCGGGCTCCTCAATAACAAAAAAACATTAGGCGTACCACTTTTGCCAATTACCGATCATGGATGGATGGATTAAAATTGATTTGACCATACAAATGATTTAAAAGTTTCTTCTTTTCTTCCATTACTCACTGGTTTGTGTAAAAAGACTGAATGTACTGACTTCAATGTCAGACCATTGAAATCCCTGCGTTTTTAACTTCATCTAGACATTCATATCTGTGTGTGTGTGTGTGTGTGTGTGTGTGTGTGTGTGTGTGTGTAGGAGACAAGGCTCTAGACGGCTACAGTAAAAAGAAGTATGTCTGCAAGCTGCTCTTTATCTTTCTTCTGGGCCATGACATTGACTTCGGACACATGGAGGCTGTCAACCTCCTCAGCTCCAACAAGTACACGGAGAAACAAATTGTAAGTTTGTCCTTGTGTTCATCAAGGACAAAAGTTGTCACGCAAATATGTTTGTGCAAAGGGGCGGGGGACTAAGGGGCATACAAATAACCTGACGTGTATTGTTTCTCCTGTGTATGGTGGAACTGAGCTTTGAATCCATTTCCTGCTTTTCTAGGGTTACCTGTTCATCTCGGTGCTGGTGAACTCGAACAGCGACCTGATCCGTCTCATCAACAACGGCCTCAAGAACGACCTGAACAGCCGCAACCCGACCTTCATGAACCTGGCCCTGCACTGCATCGCTAATGTGGGCAGCAGAGAAATGGCCGAGGCGTTTGCTTCTCAAATCCCCAGCATCTTGGTGGCAGGGTTTGTACATGAACGTTAATGCATCGATGTTTCAGCTGATGTGACGTCTCTGAGAAAACACAAAGTTGGGACTGTTGGTCATAAAAAAAAAAACAACAACATCAATACAGGCTTGTGTGCACCGTCCATGCGAGGTGTAAAATTCCGCATTCATGTGCTCATCATTGCACATTTTGATAAAATAATACGAACTGAAATATTAAATTGCTCTTTCATTCATGCCGTTTTTTACCGCTTTGCCTTGCCAGCTCTTTTCTTCCCCACGGGGAACTGAAGCAGTCATTTCCATCTATGCTCTCTTCAAAGACAGTAATCTGAGTTTACAGAATACAGGAGTGGGTGGTTTGTGTTATTGTGTGACTTTGGTGTTTTAAAGGGTTCAGATTCACCACGGTCAACTGTAGACGGTCATTAATACACTAACTATGGATAAGTACCTCTTACAAACCCACTTTCAAAAAAATCCAAACCATCACTTTAAGTTATAATCCTTAAGATTTCCATTATTTCAGACCAAACTTGTGTTTATTATCAGCATTTCTTCTGCAATAGCTATCCCACTGTATTTACATTGTGTCATTGCCTCTTATATTGCGGTTTTCATTGTGAGTGGTGCGGTTTGCCATTTAAATCATAATCATTTGAATATCAATTACTCACCCTGTGTTATTTGGAGTTCTTGTATAAAATTTAGTGTTTCTCACACGCTGAATGGAGAATCAAGAGCGGAGAAAAGTCTCGATGAATTGCAGTAAATGGGGGGCTGCGTTTAACAACAGCATACCTATATCAACTTAATCTCTCACACAACTCGTGCAGAATAATCCAAGTATCCTTTATCCGGCTCTATGCTCGCTATTTAAAACACTTTAGACTCGTCTGGACTGTGGATGAGATTAAGATTACAGGACTTAAATCTTAAGGATTATAACTTTTAGTTTTGACCTTGACCATTCGTGATGGATTAGGATGAATCAAGTCGTGTTGTGCTTTGCTCCGTCAGGGACACAATGGACAGTGTGAAGCAGAGTGCGGCACTGTGTCTGCTGCGGCTCAACAGGACGTGCCCTGACCTGGTCCCCATGGGTGAATGGACAGCACGAGTGGTCCATCTGCTCAATGATCAGCACCTGGTAAGACTATATATATATATATATATATATATATATATATATATATATCGTCCTGCTGATCAGTACATCTAGGGGATCCCATTGACATGCAGCTGCATGCCGGACAGTGGTGGTTTGGCACGAATGCATGAGCAGTGTTCATTCTTGGGATGTGACAAAATAGAGGTTACTCAAAGCAGATGGTATGCATACTAAATATGTTTTCTGGGTGTGTTGTGGATGCACACTATTGTCCCACAATGAAATGTACAAAGGAGGTAGAGTGGCTCACAGCTGGAAAAACGTTGCACGCACTATCATTTTACTATCATGTACTAGCTGCTAAAGCAGTACACTGTGACGATTAGTACGTAGTACATACTGTATGGAATTAGTATGTAGTATGTATTTGGGACGCAGCGTCAACACAGGGTGATGAAGCAATGTGTCGGTTGGTCTGTGATTGATGTGTGAGGTGTGTCCGTCTGTTGTCAGGGAGTGGTGACATCAGCCACCAGCCTCATTACCACTCTAGCCCAGAAGAGTCCCGAGGACTTCAAAACATCCATCGCACTGGCGGTGGCCCGGCTCAGTAGGGTGGGTGTCTCTGTAACTTCACATAATAATCTTCATCTCACTGAGGTCAGCGATGCACTGATGTGTTGTGTTGTTCTTGCTGGTCCAGATCGTGACTTCGGCGTCCATCGACCTACAGGACTACACGTACTACTTTGTTGCAGCGCCGTGGCTGTCCGTCAAACTGCTGCGCCTGCTGCAGTGCTACACTCCACCCGGTGTGTGTGTGTGTGTGTGTGTGTGTGTGTGTGTGTGTGTGTGTGTG